TTTATTGTCATGAGGGTTATAATTACTGATATCTTATTATTATTATTATTACCATTACTGCTATTAATGTTATTACCATTATTATATTTTCCATTATTATTATTATTATTATTATTATTATTATTATTATTATTATTATTATTTATTATTATTATTATTATTATTATTATTATTATTATTATTATCATTATTATTATTATTATTATTATGTTTATTATTATTGCCATTATTATTGCAATTATTATTGCCATTATTATATGGTACATGCAATTTTTATGAATACTGGTTTTATTAGTATGCATGTATACATTTTCAATTCATATATTTATTTGTATTTATTTTATGGATGCCTTGGAAATAGTGTGAACAATATTCGATGCTTTTGTTTTTTATAAGGTTTATATTAGAAGTTAAAGCTGTTACCTCAGGAAAGTAATTATTATACTGGAGTAATATAGAAAACTGAGTACCAATTTTTGCATAGTTTAATTTTTAGAGACTAATCACCAGTTCTTAGTCTTAAGTTAATTAAACTTAGCTTACTTATGTATTTTTCGTGCTAAATCTGCACGAATGGATCATCGCAATGTAGCTGAAATTTTAAATTTTGGTTAGAAAAGCGCAATAAATTCTGTCTCTCAACATGTTTGGACCATTCAATAAGAGAATAGATATTGCAAAAATTCACTTTTAAATTATAGAAAAAGTAAAGGCGTGAGCCCTCACGTACAAATTTGTGACTTATTACCTATCATGTAAATCTTTTATTTTGAAAACTTCACTTTGATTATTTATGGGTATTTTTTATATGTAGTGACCGCAGTGGTCCTGATTTTTTGATCATTCACTTTACACACGTCTCAGTGAAAACTTATAACTTTCATATCATAATTTTATGATTTTATCTTAGAATTTTCTTAACGTTAGTTTTTTATATTTTCTGGATTATTGAGTCATTTTTAATCTCAATAAATTTAGTACTATGCAAATTTGTATCTCTCAATTTTTTACAGTTTCCATTTAAAAATTCAGTAATAACAATAATAGTAATAATAATAATTGTAATAAGCAAACTTACGAAAGATACTTTATTTCGAATTCTTAAATAAACACTTCATTTAGCTTGCAGAACCATTCGTTATGCATTTTAAAAAAATGTTCTATGCATCATTTTGTTCATTTGATGTACTCATTTGAGTCATAATGTGACGACTGCATATCATTCTGACTTTATGACTTGTAGAAGTGATAAATTAGCACCTTTAAATATTCATACTTATCGCTTACTTATAAGAAATCACACTTAATGATTTTCATTAAAGTTGCATCTATTCCTAACGTTTTCAGTCTTAAAATTACTCACTCAGTTGATACTTGAAAAGTGTGGGAATAGTCACATTTTTCAAAGTTAGTACGTACAAAATGAGCTATCAGAGAAGAAGAAGCACACTTGTCTTGCTGGAATCTAATTTGTGATAGTTTAGCCAAATTTTATCAAAAGAAGAAATTAAAAATTGATGCATGAAATTTGAGTAATATTAATAAAACTAAAATTACACTAAACTGCAACAAAAAGATAAAAAAATGTTATAGATTCGTGAACATCGTTGTGAAGTACCACAGAGGAGTGCATCAACAGGTGTTTCAGAACGTACTTCATCACCAGACGCAGATCGTAGTTCTGTTCCAGCTCGAATACATACTTCATATTCATTATTAGCAAGGAGCAGCCCAGAACCAAACATTCTTGGCTATGCTAGCACTACTTTACCAAGTCTGGTAGCAGCAACTCTATCACCTTCAGCACCTCCTGCACCTCTCTCACGAATGCTATTTTCACAACTTTTTGCTGCAGCGCCAGGAGTATTACAGTCAGCATCAGCAGTCACTACACCATCGACATCAACAGCTACTAAAGATACTGTACTGGATTTATCTAATCCAATTACAATTAAACACTTGCACCAAAACCATTTTCTTCCTCTACCACCATTACCACAACAATGTTAGTTCACAATATCATTAAATTTCATAAATTTGTTTTGCTAATTTAAAGAAGAAAATTGACCACAATTATTGCAGTGACAATTCTGCCTCACATGTAAAATTGTTTTGAACGGGTCATCGTCATAATCATTTTAATAATTAATGATAATATTTGCAGTTCTTTGAGCATAACAACAGTTTATCAGTGATCTGATAAATAAATAATAATATTTTTTCGCATATGTAATGAGTAATTTAATTCAGTATATTATTTATTTACCTAATTTATTTCAGTCATTAGGCCACCTTTCAATTTTGGCCAATTTGCGGCGGCAGCAGCAGCTGCTGCTGCAGCAGTAACACAACGTTCTGGTTCACATGCAGAATTGTTCTTGAACGGGTCATCATCATCATCTTTACTTAGTAATGACGATGATTGGGAAGCGCTAATGGAAGTAAGCACCACCGATGAATCAGAAAAGATTCGCGCATTAGTTGGTGATAAAGCATTACCGACTACTGATCCTAATCAGTGCTTACTGTGTCGACGAGTACTCTCATGTAAAAGTGCTCTGCAAATGCATTATAGAACGCATACAGGTAAATGCTGTATTTTTGTACAATTTTAAATAATGACAAGTTATTTAGAGAAAGAAATTAATGAGAACCAACTCGTATATTTTAGTATTTAATTGTTTTATTTGCTTTTTAACTCAAGCATAAATGATAATAATCCTTTGATGCTTAAGTAATTAGATTAAAAATTACAAATTATTTGTAACGGACACTGGTGTTATTGACTACAGAAGATTCTTATTCAACTGTAATTAGTGTTGAATGAAATTTCGAAGTTAATATCAATACTTAAAATTCAAAATTCATCAGAGTGGCCATGCCTTCAATAAAAGTATAAACTGTTTTAGTATTTTCGAATTATTTTAGTATATGAAAATAGTTGTAAATTCACAGAATATCGAATTAAAACTTTCTATTAAATTTGTGTAATTTTTATTATAAATGTTGAAGGTGAACGACCTTTCAAGTGTAAAATATGTCAACGTGCTTTTACAACGAAAGGTAATCTGAAAACTCATATGGGTGTCCATCGAGCCAAACATTCATTCCGCGGCATCGCGGCAAGCGCATCAACCGTTCATCATCAGTGTCCCATCTGCCAGAAGCGGTTCTTTACTGCTCAATTGCTTCAACAGCATATCGCTCAACATACTAGTCAGCTGACCAGGTTACTTTTGCTTCAATTACACATACAGTAATAATAATTATTATTAAAGGAAAATCCAATTTTAGCTTTCTCTAATTTAATAAGCAAGTGATTCGTGAAAATATAAAGCATAGAGAGAAAAATTATTGTGTTTCAAGTTGTATTCTTCAGCTTTGAAACGGAAACTTTTCTTTTGTGATTTTAATGTTCATCAAAAATAATTGTTAATTTAATTATGCTTTTATTTAGGCTTGTATTAGATAAAGAAGTATTCCATTACGATAAACTAATGTTTACTTAAGTATAATTGTTGAGTAAATGATGCACAGCCATCTTTACAATAAATGATTAGTGATAATTTTAATGAGCAATAAACCGAGGTAAATATTAATTTGAATGTAGAAATGGCATGTTACCACCGTTCGAAGTACCAGTGGCTGCAGTTCAAGGATTCGACCGACGTCCCGAGCAACATCATCATCCTCCTTCTTCCGCTTCTTCATCTTCATCAACCTCTAACGGGTACACTCTTGACCTTATCTCACAGTTCTATTTATTAACAACTGGAATTATTTAACTCGGTACTGATCATGAGAATTTCGTTAGTTATCTCACCTCATATGAGTAGCGTAAAAATGATACGGTACACCGTTCGTTGTGCTGCGAAAAAATGATTCAATAATTCTACTCCTTTAAAAAAAATTAATAGCACCTTGTTTTCTAGAAACCATGGTATTATTTCGTGCCAGAAATAAATACCATTGAATATCGTCGAATGTATTTCATTTCTGTTTTGGCGCATCTAATTACGTTGTAAATAATATAAAAATCACTGTATTATTCCGATCTATAGAATTGTTTTTTATTTTGCAGAATGCTAATCATATTTAGTTTAGATTTTATATTATTTAAATTTTTAAATTAGAGAATAAATGATGGTGGAATTTTGCATATTTGTTTCAGCGTCTCATCAATGCTACAAGTGAATGCTACTAATTTAATTATGCCACTGAAAAATGAATTAGTTTCCACGCCACCATTCATTCCACCGTTTCCTTTTTTTTCGCTTGGTTTGCCACGTGGTCTTCCAAGTCCCATCGCTGCATCAACTTCACCTCACCCATCACTTACTTCTATTTCTCTTACGAGTAACCAACATCAAATCCTACCCAAACAGGAGGGTAAATATATTTGCTTAAAAAATTATTAGTTTTTATAATTTGCATTGATATTTCAAATTATTTAAATACTTTTTTAATCTAATGACTCTATCGAAAAATTTAAACTTCAATTGTGAAATACTTGCAATAATTGCTGTTATGATAAATTGATAGCGTTTTATCTACTAGGTCTCTTTATTTTCAGAATTCTCGCAACAATTTGATCAACAACTGCAGCAGCAGCACCAGACTTTGAGCAAATCAGAACCTTCAATCAGTAGTGCTGCTGAATCCATATCAGCGCCACCATTATCTTTAGATGCGTCACCTACAATATTCAGTCCATCAGGTAGATCAGCTCATGTGGTGAAAGATGACGATGAAGTAGCTTCAACAAGTAGCTCACATAATGGTTCTTCAGCTCAACCACCCATACCATTACCTGCTGGGTCTTCGGGTTATGCTTCAGATTCCATCGCAAACTGCTCTATTTGCTTGCAACTTTTCCCAAATCAAATCGCTTTGGAACTGCACATGAGGTCAATTTAAAACTACTAAAAATTCAAATTTTATTTTTCATTGCATTTTACTTTAAATGATTCAATAACTGCTTTTTATAGTAAAAATTTAAATTTTTCCTCCATACATTTGTTTCTACACAACATTACTATACCATTACGAATATGTTTTTTAACGACGCGATATTTAATTGTTTGAGAAATATCGCGTACTTGCTTAATTTTAATTTCAACTTATTATAAGTGTTATCAAAGAATTTTTATTTATTTTACTAACATTATATTGGTAGGAAATTTGATCTATTTTGTAGGGAAAAAATGTTATGTGCAATAAGAAAATTAAGGAGGATGACATCCTTTAAAACTTGAAGAATATATTTAAATGCATTCCTTTAAACTTACTCTTAAGAATTTCAAACTTCAATTACTCAATTTTTTACCTAAAAGTTTAGTCTTTTAAAGAAATGTAAATATTTTTATTCAATAAATATCTTTGCTAGTAAGAACTTTATGTAAAAATGTTTGTACAATATTATATAATTGAGTCTTTCACTTGTTAATTTTGTTACGAAGAATTTGAAATAAATATTTATGATTAATTGATGTTAAAAAGTGTTTTCTGTTTGCAGAAATCATCATGAAGACTTTTCATTGAAGTGTTTTATTTGCGGTGTGAGCTGTGCAACAAAAGATAGCTTGAAACAGCATCTATCCTCAGATCATCAAATTCACTGTTTACCCTCATCTGATGACAATTTTCTTCATAATAATGATGATGATGATGACGAGGATTCTGATAACGATAATGATGATACCGGTGATGAATCTTCAGTCACTCATGTCGAAACTGAACAGTATGTACATTTAAATTATTAATATATTGCTTCATTTCATTTATCATTTCAGTTTTTTCAGTTTATATACTTGACGATTTTTTTCTTGATTGAACTTATCTTCTAAGTAATATAAAGTTATAAATCAAATTCATCTATATTAGTTTAGACTAAGTAATATTTAGAATGGATACCGTTAATGTTCAGTATGAGATGTCAGAATCATCAAATGACAATCAGTTCTTACAACAACAACAACAACAGCAACAGCAACAGCAGACCTCTGAAAGCTCTGAGGAGAAGCAGTTTTCTCAGTCTTTCTCGAATTCAGTACCTGCTCCTTTGCCACCTCTCAGTAGCACTCCGAATCCGTTGGATGCCATGCAAAAAATGTGGGCTGAAACAGAACCACCGCCACCGCGACAAGCTCCTGTTCTTTCTAAGCATCAGTGTGGCGTATGTTTCAAACATTTCAGCAGCAGTTCTGCTCTACAAATTCATATGCGAACGCATACGGGTAAGATTATGCAACAAAATAATTCTGATCTCATCTGCTAATTATTGAAAAGTTGTGTAAAAAGATGTAGAGTTCATTCCTCAAGTTGTCAGAATGCTTTTTATAATTACTTTGTAGCTGTAATGAATTTTAATTTTTCAAGTCTGTACTTATTTTCCTATAAATTTTTTTCTTTTATTTTTGACCAACTTGTGCGTTATAGTATCAGTTAACTATTAATTAATGTAGTCTAAAACAGTTATTTTTTTAATCAATGGGTTTTTGCGAATTCGTTTTATTGATACAGTTTGGATTTAGAAATTTTTGTGGATAATAAAGTTATGCAATAATATTTTTATGATTTATTTAATTTAGCAAGTATAAAAAGTTATGTTTAAAATTTACTTTTAGGTGATAAACCTTTCAAATGTGAGGTTTGTAGTCGAGCATTTACTACCCGTGGTAACTTGAAGGTGCACATGGGTACTCATATGTGGCAGCAAAGTCCATCTAGACGTGGTCGTCGAATTTTTGAGTTTGGTACTGATGGTATTTTACGGTCAGAATTGCTACCATCATTTGGTATAGGTCCTGATGGACCTTTACGTGTTGCTTCATTTGATCCAACAACACAAGCAGCAGCAGTAAATCCAATTCGCCCCGGTGATTTTTTAGGATCTCAGTCACCATCAACACAACATCGAGTTACTACTGCTACTGTTACAACTCCTGCAGCATCGCAACCATTCTCATTGTTACCGTTCCCCTTACCATTGCTACCGCAGGTAAGCAATTCCGGTGCTTGTACACCCAATCATTTGGATACTGTAATGTGGATGTGGAAAACAGTTTGCTCAGTTTGCCAAAAAATTTGTGCAAGTCCTCAAGAACTTGAGAAACACTTGAAACAACATCTTAATGGTACCGTCCCTAGTGATAATTCGAATACCACTAGAATCGCCCCATTATTACAAAAAACCGAGTGATAATTAATGTTATTGGTATAATAATACTGGTTGTTGTTATTGTTATTCGCATTTCATGTAATGCTAATTATAAGAAGTTTAATGTTTCCTCATTATAGAATTTAACTTATTTCAGTTGGATATACTTTGAAGTTTATCTTTGGGCTCAGCAAGCTTTTTATTTGTGATTAATTAGCTCAATTTCATTGAAATGGAAATAGAAAGTGTGGCTAAAGACTAACTAGGTTAATAATTCTTTTAGATTGCTTAAAGTAGTAGCTGTTATCATGTTGGTTTAGTAAAGTTATTGCTTATCAAACCTCGATTTGGGAATGTGGTTGGTAATACTTGACCATATAGCTTGTGAATAGGAAAATTGTGAGATTAATTATTAAATATCAATTACATTAGACAGTTCCAAATATTCACAAAATCTTAGTAAATATTTGCAATTAATGAAAATACAAATAAGACATTAGAAAATCTTGATAATATTTTTTGTTATAGTGAAAAATTATCATTATTTCTCTGTTTTACAACGGTTACTCAGTCTAAATATGGCATTCTCGATGTGTGTTCGGTTTTATATTCATTACCAACCATTCAATTCCCATTGATTATGATTTCTCGATTCTGCTTAATATGGTGTAGTTTTTTCAAATTTAAATGAATAAATCATTTCTTATATTATTTGTACTTAAGTTATTGTTAGAGTGTTAGCCAATTTTGTCTGAGAAACTGCTAATTTTGTTAATATTTTTCGCGTCAAAAATTGCTTCAGTCTTTGCTATGAATTATTGGCCTAAAATATTTAAACTTCTTAGCAAAGTTTTGCTGAAAAAATATTGATAAAATGTAATTTTTGCTTTATTTACTCAAAATTGCATTTGTACTCCTTCCTGCTACCTTATTATCCGCAAGCCAGCCTTTTCACAACGAAAAGAGATCTCAAACATACGAAACTTTATATTAGTTCTTACAACTGCAGCTTATTCACTAATATCGTTTTATCACTAATAATGAATGTATCAGAAGATGGATGGATTAAAGTTGATCAGTTCATATTCTTCCGATTTTGAGTTCAAATTTATTTGAGAAGATATTATGATAGGATCTTTTGTAGAATATTAATATTCAAAAATTCAAAGCAGTAAAAATTTTATCCATTTAGAAAATTCCATTTTGTAATACTTTTTGTTTCCAGTATTATTTAATTCTGGAAGTAATTTTTTGTATGCTTACTTTTTTGTTTCTTGCTTTTGTTTTGCATATTATCGTTCCTCATTATCAGAGTTATATACTTTCCGAATATTTTATGCGTTTACTTAAGTTTTGATTACTTTTTATTTTTTTTGCATTGGTTTGGAATTACAAACGTGAAAAGAAGAAAGTTACGTGAAGAATGCATTTAGAAATTTTATTAAATATTCAAATTATGTGTACTTTTCCAAAAATATATCATATCAACTTGAGAATAAAGCCTTACTTGAAATTTGAGTTGTTTATATTTTAAAATATTCACAGTTTGAGTAATATAAGCTATAGACAATGGACTATATTAGATCATTTTTTAATTTCATATCCAACAACAATTTGTCAGTGTTAAAACTAACCTCAGATTTTTCTGTTCATTTTTGCTAATTATAATAGTAATTAATATTCTGTGTCATGGATATAAACTTGTTACTAGCATAGAGGGAAAGAATTAATTCGGCTTAAGTAATTCATTTCTGAAGTGAATAAAACTACTTTTGAGTATATTTCAAATTAATTGAATCAAATTTCTTTTTTGAAATTAAAGATAGCACTGATGAAAAATTACTAAGTAAATATTATGCTATTCTTCTCGGAAGCATAGCATAATTTGCATAATTTCCTTCTCGAGCATTATAATTCTTAGCTATTGTTACATGATAATTTATTCAATCACTGTTTTTGTATCATATTCTAGTGCATAATTATTATCATTATTAAGCTGTTGCCAAATTGTGCTTACTTAGTTACTGAATTACCAAATTGTCTTTATTGTAATTTTGCAAAACAGCTTACAAGTTAATTATATTTTGTGCTATTTTACAATTATCCCATTGATTAATTAATTAATTAATTAATGTCATTAACAACGGTGAATCCTAAGTTTGCTGTTATCAGTCACGGTTCCTTTATCATTTTTCTTATTCATATAAATTTAGATACATAATTTTTCTCAAATTTTAGATCAAAATGCCATTAAGTAATATGCGTTTGTCTTTGTGTATGTATTTGTGCGTGTTTTTTGTCCAATTTATTATCTTTTAATATATTATTTTTTTTTTGCAAATTTGTTCATTTGTTTGTTATATACAATACGAAGGAAAACGCTTACTTTTCAGATATGAAAAAGTCATTGCAATAGTTTAAAGCAAAAAATTAAAAATAACAAAATATGACAAAAATTGCAAAACGAGATAAAATTAATTAAATTAATTACTTTGATTTGAATTAAGATGAAAATAATTAATAAATGGTAAAATGAATTCAAAATGTTGGGTCAATATTGTTTACGAGTAGTTTGATACTTACTGATTTTCGTTTTTTTATTTGCTTGCTCAAATGTTCCACTATGTGCAAGCGAATTATCAACATTTTAATTAATTAATTAATTAATTATGTTAAAATCGGAAGAAAAATTTGTTTGCAAGTATTACAACTTACATAAGCAGTAATTGAATATAGTTATTACAAAGTAGTATGTGACTTAAAATGCTTATCAAATTAAAACCTGCTTTGAGCTTCATTCTATGTGGGAAAACGCATTTTGAGAATGAAACATACAAACTTATCATGCAAAAACATTGATGTGATAATCATTCAAAATTAAAAAAGATCATGAATTGCACTGCAGTACAGTTATATTTGTACATCTTTAGTTTCATATAAACTAATTAATAATCTGCTCTACTTTTGTGGATACAAAATAAAAAGTTCAAAGGGCAGCAATTGAACGAAAAAGCAAAGTTCATCCAAAATATAACAAATATATATAAACGATGCAGTAATCTTTGTTGTAATAAGAGAAGGTGTGATTACAATATAAACAATCACTGTTTTCTGAGATAGTTAATTGTATGCAGAAACAAGCAGAGATCAGTAATAAGTTGTCACTTTGAAACATTTCCCCCACAAGGCGGAAGACCGATTTTGATGGATTTTGATTGCCTAAACTACCGTCACTTTCATTTTCAGCGCTTAGAATAGTTTCATTCAACGTTTTATTATTTTTT